GCCAGGGAGCACCTACCGCTCCTCGGCCCCGTGAGGGGGGCGCGGATCCCCACTTTGCAAACGGAGGAAGTGGGGCCGAGGGAGGTGAGATGCGTCACCCGCAGGTGACACGGGGGCCAGTGGGTGTGAGGCCTTCCCCTCTCTGAGTCTCCACACGGCGACCTCATTGAAGTTGACAGCAGGTGGAGACAGAAGGGGTAGACACACCTGGGTTTGGGCCACTTACCAGCTGTGTGGCCGTGGGCGGGTCACTTGCCCTCTCTGAGCCCCTCTTCCCTTTCCTGTGACATGGGAATGGCGATGCCCCCACAGGAGCCGCGCTCAGGGTCCCCCCTTCCTGTCTCGCCCACCATTGGGTCTCCCCCCCAACTGCTCCCCACAGTCTGGGGACAGGACAGGAACCGAGGTGGGGCCGCAGGTCCCCGCATTCTCCGCGGGGGCTTCCTGCAGTGGAGGGCGTGTCCTGTGTCAGCTGCCCGGTGTGGCCACCAGTAGCCACGAGCATGGACGGTGAAATGTGCTAATGCAGCTGTGGGACCGAGTTAAATTTTTACTTAATGTTCAGTGAACGTGAAGAGCCACAGGTGGCCAGTGGCTGTCGTATTGGACAGCAGAGGAGACCCTCCTGACCCGAAAGACCCAAGAGGCAGAGGGTGGATTCAGGGAGGCAAGCTGGGGCCGGAGCCCTTGCAGCTCCCTCTGCTCAGGGCAGCTGGTGGCAGGCTGGGCATCAGGAGGCTCGGGCTCGGAGCAGTGGGCACGGGGCTGGAGGGGGCAGCGGGAGGGCTGGACTAGGCCCTGGATCCTGGTGGCCTCAGCTTCTGGCCTGGCAGAGACCCAGTCCTGGAGCTGGGCTGGCCGTGAGGCACTGGCTAGACACCCCTCCCTTCGTCAGAGCCACCTTCCCTGGCACATGCTGCTGGCCGGGGCGGAGGGGGTCTCGGGCCAGGCCAGGCGCTTCCCTTCTGAGTGTCTCTGGGTGGGTGCCTTGCTGTCGGAGCCGGGGTTCCCCCCACCCCACCCTCTGCGGCCATATATTAAATTTCTATTTATAAATTTTCTCACAAAATGTGTTTTGATATTTAAAGCATGTGATGAAAGTTTAAATATGAAAATATTTTCAATTTTCTTGCATTTTCCTGCATTAAAAGTTTAAAGATGAAAATATTTTACCGCTTCGTCAAGAAGAACGGCCAGTGCAACGTCTACTTCGCCAACCTGAGCAACAAGTCGCAGCGCTACATGGCGGACATCTTCACCACCTGCGTGGACACGCGCTGGCGCTACATGCTCATGATCTTCTCCGCGGCCTTCCTCGTCTCCTGGCTCTTCTTCGGCCTCCTCTTCTGGTGCATTGCCTTCTCCCACTCTTTCATTTTAAACATTTGTCCCCTTGGCTGGGTAGCTCGGTTAGTTAGAGCGTCATCCTGATAGGCCAAGGTTGTGGTTTGATCCCCGGTCAGGGCCAAAACTCGATGTTTCTCTTGCTCCCTTCCTCTCTCTAAAAATAACTATATAACTAAATAAACATTTGTCTTGATATTTAAAAAAGATGTTATCTCTAGAGAATGTTCCTTTTCACTCATTTCCAGGTGTGTCATTTGAAAGGCCTTCATGGGGTGAGAACGGCTTCCTGGGGGCCTTCCTGTTCTCGGTGGAGACGCAGACGACCATCGGCTACGGGTTCCGGTGCGTGACGGAGGAGTGCCCGCTGGCGGTCATCGCCGTGGTGGTCCAGTCCATCGTGGGCTGCGTCATCGACTCCTTCATGATCGGCACCATCATGGCCAAGATGGCCCGGCCCAAGAAGC